GATAGATAGATAGATAGATAGATAGATAGATAGATAGATAGATAGATAGATTGGTTGATTATTGTAATATTCTGTTTGTGTTCTGACAAATCTGCTTGAAAATCAGAAAGTGGAACTAGCCATTAGTTAATCATAGAGGTCTGGAGGTCTGTACAGACAAGACACAGGAAGTGCTATGGCTGGCAGGGAATGAAGTGGTAAGGTGGGGCATAAACAGGATCTCTGCCCTTTTCAGTCTGAGGAGTCAGAGAGGTAAGAAGTGATTGTGGCTGCTCCTTTGCTTCTCTGATCTTTCAGTTTTTACCCCAATATCTACTCTGAGTTTTTATTATTAAGACTATTTAGAATTATACATATATCTAATATATATGTGTGTGTTTAAATTCAAATCTGACTCAAAAAATAGAAGAAAAGTCTGCCTCATATTTTTTACAGTATTCAATAATTAATTCAAATATCTGAATAATTTATATATGAAAGATAGATATTGATATAAATGACATAGGTATGATGTAGATATATCCCCAAGATCACATCCCTTTGGGAGATTCTCTGGATGATATCCCATCACCACCAAACCAGCCTTGGGAGACTTTTTGTATCTGCACTTGTTACTGTTGAGTGGCAAAATTCTTCAGCTCAAAACTGGGTACCCAAGTCAAAAACAGATGTCTGAGATTTGATACCTCACATTCAAGACTTTCATCCAGTGTCTCAGTTCTCTATACCTTTCTGAGTCCCCTATGTTTGTTTTAGAAACAATGTCTGCCTTAATGAGTTATGATTCTCAAGAGAAGCAGAGAAAAGATTGCTTACTTTATCTCCATAAAATAGAGCTGGATTTCAATATCCTTTCGGACTTTGACAATTAACCGTTGTCTTAGTCAACATATAAATACAATTTGATAAAATCAGTTAAGAACTAAATGTAATTGACATGGTGCTGGTTCTTAAACCTTTCATTTCTTTTATCCCTACAATCATTTTTCAAATTCCATTTGCAGATTATTTTGATGACTCATTTGCTATTTACAGTTGTTTAGCTAACAGAACCTATTTGATGCAAACACAGATCAAAGGGAAAATTCCTCAGCTGGAGAGATGGATCAGTAGTTGAGCCTGTGTATTGCCCTTGTAAAGGACCTAAGTTCAGTTTCCCGCTCCAATATTGGGTAGCTCACAACCACTTGTAATTGCAGTTGCATGGGATCTAACACCCTCTTCTGACCTCCACAAACACCTGTACATACACTTATACCTAAGTGGAAATGAACACAAGAAAATACATTAAAAAAAGATACTTCCCTAGTGTTTTGGATCGGTGTTTGTTAAACCAGTCTTTGTCACAAGCACCACATTCTCTAGCCAAAACATCTGGAAAGCTCATACTATATTCTCTACGTGATACTCTCCTCCCCCAACTTTGCTTAGATTTCTGGTGGTGGGGTTTCTTGCTATTAGTCACATCTGTGTTGTGGCAACATTCACTTGACATTTTATCTTCTCTACCACCTGTCTAGTCAGTTTCCGGAATCAGAGAAACTCTTATTAAAACACCTAGAGCGACATTTGGCTGCTTAACTGAAAATTGATACATTCATCTCTAGGTTTTCTTCATGACATTTTACACAATAAAGATTAAGGTATCTGTTTACTGTCTCTGTTCTTTCCAAAATATAAAGCTTCTTAAATAAGCACTGTGGTTAATTTTCTTGGTGAGTCTATTTCCTGTTGTCATCACACATATTTTTATGTCTCTCATGAGTTTTGCTAATCCTTCAAAATGACAACCATATAATAGTTTTTCTGTTCATGAGGAAATACTTATCTGGATTCCATTACTGCCCTCAGTATTTTTCTGGTTAATAGATTTTAAACAATTTTAGATGAACAAAGGAAAAGGCAAACAGAATTTCTATATAACCTGAATTTTACAAATGTGATATATTTTGTGACACCTAATTAACCAATATTGACATAAAATTATTGGCTAAATTTCACACCTTAGCTTAGGATTCACTCCATGTGCTATACAATTTTGTTTATAACAGCCATTGATGAAAGTATAATATCTGTGTCTACCATTAGTATAGTAATATTAATTTTTCTGCGCTAAAATTTCAAACTATCTGCCTTCTCTCTATCATTCTTACTTTCCTTCCGCTAAACTTCTGTCAAAAAGGCGATTGTTATGTAGTGGCTCCCAGTATGCCAGACCATTGCAACCACATAGGAATGGTTTTTCAGATTCTTTGCATTTATTTAACTGTGCACATTTATTTATATTTCCTCTATGCATTCGCTGCTTGATCAACTCTCTGCTTCTAATTATTATTTTCTTTTTTTTTGACTCTAATTAGCCTCAAGAAAAATAAAAAAAAATATTTTCATTAAAAACTGGTTCAATAGTGGTATGAATGTTATAAAAGTAGCTAGCTAGTTTCTGATTGGATTTAAGGCCAACATTATAAGATGGATTGTAGCTGACGTTTTCCTGTGTCCCGGCCTGCCAGCAGTTGGGGCAAATCTCTCCCACTAGCATCCCCCAGGTAAACACACAGAGACTTACAATACTTATAAACTGTATGGCCGTGGCGGGCTTCTTGCGACCTGTTCTTTTTCTTTTTTTTTTTTTCAATTTTTTTTTAATTTTATAATTTAATTTAATTTTACATATCAGCCATAGATTCCCCTGTC